GTAGTTCCCCCTTATTTTCAGTTTCGCTTTCTGCAGTTTCAGTTACCCATGGTCAACTGTAGTCTGAAAATATTAAATGGAAAATTCCCAAAACAATTTGTAAGTTTTAGATTGTTCACCATTCTGAATAGTGTAATGAAATCTCAAGCTGTTGTGCTCACTGCATCTCATCTAGGACGTGGATCATCCTGTGCCCACTGTCTACATGCTGTGTACACTACCTGCCCATTAAGGTCTTGGTTATCAGTTCAAAAAAACATAGGGCTCGGTACTATCCAGGTTTTCAGGCATCCAGTGGGGGTCTGTGAACATATCCACCATCAATAAGCAGGGACTACTGTACATAGCAGACTGCTTATCTATGCAAGTTTGGCGAGTTCTACCTTCATTGCCATTAGGGTCTGAAGCCTTTTTTATGAAGATATATCTATATTTTCAAGTTTTCTTCTTGAGCCAGTTTTGGTTATATTCCTATAAAGTCTATTCTAGATTTTAAAACTAGTACTCAAATTATCTCATGGATGTTTTTAAATCTCTGCATAAGAATATTTTTTATCTGTCTCATTCTTAGTGTTTTGGTTAGTTGATTTCAATTTCTTTCATTGTTTTGTTTTAATTCATACATTTTTGTTTGACCTTTATTAATTCCTTCTTCTGGCTTATTTTGTTTGATTTGTTCTTTTTCTACTTTCCAGAATTGAATTCTTGTGTCCATTTATTTTCATTATTATTTTTTAGATTGATAATACAATCAGTTACACTTCCACACCTACACAGTAGCCTGTAAGAATACTTTTCCCACGTTGAAGGTTATGGATTTTTCTCTCAGTATGAGACTTTTTTCCCACAATGTGATTAACTTTCAAATGGTCTGTGATTTGTTTTAGTTACTTACTAGACAGAAGTTATTTTATTTTATTTTATTTTTTTGAGGTGGAGTTTCACTCTTGTCACCTAGATTGGAGTGCAATGGCACAATCTCTGCTCACTGCAACCTCCGCTTCCTGGATTCAAGGGATTCTCCTGTCTCAGCCTCCTGAGTAGCTGGGATTACAGGCACCCACCACCACACCTGGCTAATTTTTGTATTTTTAGTAGAGACGGGGTTTCACCATGTTGGCCGTGCTGGTCTCGAACTCCTGACCTCAGGTGATCTGCCCACCTTGGCCTCCCAAAGTGCTGCACTGAGATTACAGCTATGAGCCACCACACCCGGCCTAAAGTCATTTTAAAGATTATTTTTTAAATTTATAAGTAGTTTCCTTTTGTTTATCTTTTTATTGAGTTAATTTTACACATTGTAGTCACATATTGTGGCCTCTAAGAGCTCTGTTCTTTGGACTGTTCCTATGGCATAATAAATAATTTATCTAAATGTAGATGTTCCAGATTCATTTGAAAAGGTGTTTTCTTTGTTAAGACACAAAGTTATTTATACATACACACACACTCTATATAGATAAAATACAAAAATTAGCTGGGTGTGGTGGCGCACACCTGTAATCCCAGCTACTCAGGATGCTGAGGTTGCAGTGAGCCGAGATGGCACCACTGCACTCTAGCCTGGGCGAGAGAGTCAGACTCCATCTCAAAAAAAAAAAAAAATCTAGTTTTATTCATTTCATAGTGTTTGGAATACAACAAAGTATTAACTACAGTTTCCCTATTGCACTATAAAATACTAGAACTTATTCTTTGTACCTGACTGTATTTTTGTACCCATTAACCGACTTCTCTTCATCCTAGAGTCTTTCTGGGGTTTTTGTGTGTGTGCCAAATGGTAGGAGCTAGAGCCTTTTTAAATAGGAGGATTTAAACCACTTATTTTTCTCATGATTGAGTTTTCATTTTGTTCCTACCGTTTTATTTTATATTTCTATCATTTGCTTTCTTATGACTCCCCTTCTTCCCCTTTTTACCCTATATTTTGCTGAAATTATCCAGATTTCTTTGCTGCTTTTTCCTCTCTGCTAGTTATGAAAATTACATGTACTATTTGTGGCTCCCTACATTTTAAAATACATATTTAGATTTATACTTCTGTAACAACTTTTTAAATTAAGTAGTTATAACTTTTCAAAATAAAACTATTAGCACAACTTAACTTTCTTCTCCCCATTCATCTTCCATGCTTTGCTGACATAATCTGAAGCCTTAATCTAGATTACTATGGGGGGTTTTAATTAGTGGAATGATCACGTACCTATAGAGAGAGAAAGAAGTGTACTTATGTGTCTAAAAATGTCTTTTTCCTTCTTTCTTTCTTTTTTTTCTATACAAATGAAAGATAGTTTGGTTGGATATACAGTTCTAGCATCACAGTTCTTTTCCATCAGACCTGTATAGATGTTGCTCCATTGTATATTTTTTAATTAAAATTTTTATTTTGAGATAACTGTAGACTCACATACAGCTATAATAAACAGTACAGAAAGATCCTATGTACTCTTTTCACAATTTCCTGTAATGATAACATCTTGTAAAACTATAGTATAATATCATAACCAGGATATTAATTTTGATACAGTCAACATACAGAAGGTTTCCATCACATCAGGGATTTCTTACAGTACATCAAGATAAGTGTACTTATACAGTATGTAACCTTTTGGGATTGGCTTTTTTCATTCACCATAATTATCTGGAAAGTGATTCTGATTATTGCATCTATCCGTAGTTTGTTTCTTTTTATTGCTGAGTGGCATTTGATGATGTGCATACCCAAGTTTGTTTAATCATTCACCCATTGAGTGATATTTGGGTTGTTTCTAATTTTAGACCATTATAGATACAGCTGCTATGAACATTTGTGTTGAGGTTTGTATGTGAACATAGGTCTTCACTTTCCTGGAATAAATACCCAGGAGTGCAACTGCTGAGTTGTATGGCAGTTGCATGTTTAATTTTACAAGAAACTGATAAACTATTTTCCAGGGTGGCTATACCATATTATATTACCACCACCAAGATAAAATGCTCTAGTTTCTCTGCATTGTTGCCAGCATTTGGTGGTGTTACAACTTTTTACTTTAGCCATTCTGATAGGTATAATTTAGTAATTTCTCATTGTGGCTTTACATTCTATTTCCCGAATAGCTAATGATTTTGAACATACGTTTGTATACTTATTTACCATCTGTATATTCCTTTTGGTGAAATATCTCTTTTGCCCATTTTCTAACTGAATTGTTTCCTAGGGCTGCCTTAACAAAGTGCCATAAACTGGGTGGGTTAAAACAACAGAAAATCTATTGTCTCACAATTCTGGGGTTTAGAAGTCTGAAATCAAGATGTTGGTGGCCGGGCACAGTGGCTCACACCTGTGATCCCAACACTTTGGGAAGCCAAGGTAGGCAGATCACTTGAGTCTAGAAGTTCAAGACCAGCCTGACCAACATGGTGAAACCCCGTCTCTACTAAAAATACAAAAATTAACAGAGCATAGTGGTGCGCTCCTGTAGTCCCAGCTACTAGGGAGGCTGAGGCAGGAGAATCACTTGCAAAAAATAAATAAATAAATAAATAAATAAATAAATAGCAAGGTTGTTCTGTCTGAGGGCTCTGAGAAAGGATTTGTTCATGCCTTTCTTCACTGCTGATGACAGCCAGCAATCCTTCAGTCTCTGCTTCTTATAATATCACACAGCATTCTCTCCTCCTATATCTCTCTGTCTCTTTTCCTCTTCTTATAAAGACACCAATCATATTGGATTATTCTAGTGTAACTTTAACTTCTTAATTACATCTTCAACACCCCTATTTTCAAATAAAGTCACATTCAAAGGTACTGGGAGTTACACCTTCACCATATCTTTTTGAGAACACAATTCAATCCATAATTGGTTGGTTTTTTACTATTGAGTTTTGTGTTTAGATATTAGCCCTTTGTCAGGTGTATGGTTTGCAAATATATTTTTCCTGGTCTTTTGCTTCTTTCTTCATCCTCTTGACAGAGTCTTTCAAGGCAAAAAAAAATTTTCATTTCAATGAAGTCCAATGTATCCATTTTTCCTTTTATACTCTTTGCTTTTGGTGTCAAGTCTGGAACTTTTTGCCTAATCCTAGATTCCAAATATCTTCTCTTAGGTTTTTTGTAACTATATCATTGTTTTGCATTTTAAGTTTAAGTTCAGGATCTATTTTGAGTTGTTTTTTGTGTGTGAGGTTAAGATCAAGATTCAGTTTTTTTTGCCTATGGATGTCCCATTGTTCCAGCACTAATTGTTGAAAAGACTATATAGTCTCTCTATTGAGAAAGGATTGCACATTTCTCAAAAATCATTTGGGCTTATTTGTGTAGGTCTATTTCTGGGTTCTTCATTTTGTTCCATTGACCCATGTGTCTGTCCTTTTGCCAAAACCAATCAGTGTCTTTATTAGGCTACGAGTCCTTATATTGAATAGACTGATTCCTCTCCCTTTAGTCTTCTTTTTTCAAAATTGCCTTAGCTATTTTATTTCCTTGTCTTTCTTTCTGTCTACATTTGTTAAACTTGTCTATGTCTACAAGAAAAATTGCTGGGATTTTGATAGGAATTATGTTAAACCTATATATCAATTTGGAGAGAATATCTTTCCTATGCTGAGTCTTCAGATCCATGAACACAGTATGTCTCTGCATTTATTTAGATCTTACTTGACTCCTTTAATCAGCGTTTTGTCATTTTTAGCATATAAGTCCTGTACATATCTAATGTCTTATTACATTTAATTCCTTGTATTTCTTTTTTTGAACAATGGTAAATGTCATTGTATTTATAATTTCAGTGTTCATATGTTCATTGCTAATTTATAAAAATACAGTTGATTTTTATATGTGTATCTGGTATCCTGCAACCTTGCTGAACTCATTTATTAGTTTTAGAAATTTTTTTGAAGATTCTTTGGGATTTTGTTGTTGTAGATGTTGATGTTGGCAAATAGGCGCGGTTTAATTTCTTCCTTTCTGATGTGTGTGCCTTTTATTCCCTTTTCTACCTTATTGCACTGGCTAGAACTTCCAGCACTATGTTGAATAAGAGTGGTGAGAGCAGATATCCTGCCTTGTTCCCGGTCTTAGGGGGGTAAGTATTCAGTCTTTCACAATTAAGAATAATATTAGCTGTACAGTTTTTGTTGTTATTGTTTGGTTGGTTTTTGCTGGTTTGTTTTTTGTAGATGGTTTTTAACATGTTGAAGAAGTTCTCTTCCATTTCTATTTCTGGGAGTTTTTTAATTTCTGTTTGCTGATGTTTGTGAAATGTGTTTTTTTTAAATCAGTTAATATGACCATGTGATTTTTCTTCTTTAGCCATTTAATGTGGGTAGATTACTTTGAGTTTTTTTTTTTTTTTTTTTTTTTTTTTTTTTTTAATATTAAGCCAGCCCTCTCTTGAATAAACCTTACTTGGTCATGGTGTTGTAAAACTATTTACATATTGCCAAATTCTACTTGCTAATATTTTGTTAAGAATTTTTGTGTCTGTATTTACCAGATACTGTCTTTATCTGGTTTTGATATCAAGATCACATTGGCTTCAAAAAATGCTTTGAGAAATGTTCCCTCCCATTCTCTGCAAAAGATTGTCAAGGATTTGTGCTCATTCTTATTTCAACTTTTGGTAGAATTCTCTGGTAAAAGCATCTTGGCCTGGAGCTTTCTTTTTTGTGAATTTTTAAATGACTAATTCAGTTTCTTTGATAGTTATAAAACTGTTCACATTATCTATCTTATATCGGGTGAGTTTTTGTAGTTTGTGTTTTTTGAGGAATTGGTCTGTTTTATTTATATTACTAAATTTATGTCTGTATATGTGTGTATACCCTTCTTATCCTTTTGATGTCTGCAGTGTCTATAGTGATCTCTCCTATTTAATTGTTGATATAGGTAATTTGTGTCTTCTCTCTCTTTTTTTTTTTTTTTTTTTTGTCATTCTTCCTAGAGATTTGTCAGTGTTATTGATCATTTCAAAGAACAGACTCAGGTTTTTGTTTCATTGATTTTTCTCTGTTGTTTTCCTGTTTCTCAATTTAATTGGTTTCTGTTATTTACTATTTCTTTTTTCCTGATTAACTTGCCCTTTTTCTAGGTTCTTGATGTAGAAGTTTAGATTATTGATTTGAGATTTTCTTATTTTCTTATGTGTGCATTTAGTGCTATGAATTACCCACTCAGCACTGCTTTACCTATGTCTCTCAAATTTTGATGTGTTGTATTTTCATTTTCTTTTTTTTTATTTTGAGACGGAGTTTTGTGCATGTCACCCAGGCTGGAGTGCCATGGCATGATCTCAGCTCACTGCAACCTCCACCTCCAGTGTTCAATCAATTCCTCTGCCTCAGCCTTCCAAGTAGCTGG